ACCCCTTCTTTCCAATGGTAAAAGCAGAGTGGCAGCGGGGGACACAAGAGAGGGATCTTGGGTTGATGGGGCAGAAGTGGGATGAGCAGCTGTTGCTGCTGCTAGGTCCGGTTATAGAATCAGAGCAGCAGTGGGGGACGCAGGAGAGGGATCTTGGGTTGATGGGGCAGAAGTGGGATGAGCAGCTGTTGCTGCTGCTAGGTCCGGTTATAGAATCAGAGCAGCAGTGGGGGACGCAGGAGAGGGATCTTGGGTTGATAAGTTTAAGAATTCAATCTAATATCAAAATTCCCCATGGATCGTTGGTTAAAAGAAGGAACTTTAAAGAGAAAAGTGAGTACTTCAAACTCCAATATTTTTACTGAAAGGAGCAAGGAAAATACTGAGGCAGCTCAAGTTAATTATGAAAAATTTCAGCTGACTAATAAGAAACGCAGGTATTGTGAAGACTATTTGGCATTTGGATTCACAAGCAATGGAAATGAAGATGCTCCAGGTGCCCAGTGTGTAGTGTGCAACAAAATATTATCTAATAGTTGTTTAGTACCTGCTAAATTGCGAAGACATTTTGAAACAAATCATCCAGAATACAAAGATAAAGACATTAGTTTTTTTTAAGCAAAAGCTTGAATCGCTTGAAAAAAGTAAACATGTCAAAAATTGCCAAATTTGATAATGAAAATGCAACAGAGGCATCTTACAAAGTAAGCTATCGTATATCGCTCGCCGGAGAAGCACACACTATTGGGGAATCACTCATAAAACCATGTGCAAAAGATATTGTAATGTGAATGTTGGATCAGGAGTCTAGTAAAAAAGTTGAGGCTGTGCCACTATCAAACAATACTGTCACACGTCGTATTCACGATCTTGCTGCTGGCATCGAGGAGCTTATTTTTCGGCTGCATTTATGTGATGCATATGCATTACAATTAGACGAGTCCACTGACGTTGCAGGTCTTGCAGTTCTGCTTGTATTTGTCCGTTATGATTTTAATAGTTCTATTGAAGAAGACTTACTTTTATGTGAATTTTTGCAAACCAATACAACTAGTGAGAATATATTCAATTGTATCACTAACTTTATGAAAACACATCAAATAAGCTGAGAAAAATGTGTTGATGTGTGCAGTGATGGTGCCAAAGCAATGGTAGGAACAGTGGCTGGCGCTGTAACACGAATAAAAAATGTAGCACCAAACTGCACCAGCAGTCACTTCATTCTCCATAGACACGCTCTGGTAGTTAAGAATATTTCTCCCTCTCTTAAAAATGTGTTGGACGAAGCAGTACAGATTATTAATTATATAAAAACTCGACCATTACAATCAAGACTGTTCAAAATTATGTGTGAAGATATGGGTAGTCAGCACACAGCCCTGCTTCTACATACAGAAGTCAGGTGGCTATCACGAGGAAAAGTGCTGGTTAGATTATTTGTATTGCGTCATGAGCTCTCCGCAAATCTGATGGATCACAAATTCCAACTGTCTGATCGTTTAACAGACTTTTTGTGGTTATCTAGAGTTGCGTATCTTGCAGACATCTTTACAAAACTAAATGAAGTAAATCTGTCGCTGCAAGGAAAGAATGTAAATATTTTTAATGCGAAAGACAAAATTTTGTCATTGTCACGGAAGCTACAGTTTTGGATCTCATCTGTAGGATGAAATGATTTGGATTGTTTACCAACTCTGAATGATTTCCTTGAAGAAAATGGATACAAACTTGATGAAGATATTCACAGCAACATTGCAGATCATCTCCGCAATTTATACACGAACATCATTAAGTATTTTCCAAACATCAATGACAACAATAACTGGATTCGAAATCCATTAAGTTTAACAGAAAAGCCGGTCAGTTTTTCTACACAAGATTATGAAAACCTAATTGAAATCGCTTCAGATGGCCAATTAATACAAAAATTTAAAGAAGTTTCTCTGATTACATTTTGGAGTGACTTATGTCAAAGTCAAGAATATTCATCTTTATCAAGACGCGCAATTCATCAGCTGTTACCCTTTGCCGGTACATACTTGTGCGAAACTGGGTTCTCAAACTATGCAGCAACGAAAACAAAATACAGAAATCGACTGAATGCTGCGCCAGATATGCGAATCCAACTTTCTAGTATTAAACCAAATATAAAAAGAATTTGCCAAGAAAAGAAGAAAAACCACTCTTCACATTGAAAACCAATATGTTGCCAATTGTGGTGTACTGGCAGTCTGTGTGTGTTTGGGTGTGTGGTGTTTTTTTTTTTTTTCCTCGACAAACTTAATCTCTGGCTAGGGGCTTCCTTGACATTTTTCTGAGTTTGAAAGGGTTCCGTGGTCAAAAAAAATTGGGAAACACTGGTATACACTAATGAAGCTATTAACCTAAATTATCCCGAATAGCTTAGAGAGGCTTTCAATACATGTTTGTATAAGGCCTAGCATTTTGAGACCCAGTCCTAATCGGGGCCTGTAAGAAATGTTGTAATATACATAGGGCTCGACGATCGCAATGAAAGCCACTCACCAGCCCCGCACTGCACATGCGCGGACCGCTGGTGAATGGGGTGACCGGCTGATAGCGTATTTGTCGAGCCCTGAATATACATAATATTATACCACCATTTTTTCTTTGTACTGGGCTTTCAGCAGCAGCAATTGGCACAATGGACAAACACAGATATTAACCTTTTCCTTCCTTCCATTTGCTTGCAGAGTCCTTTGTATTTCTTGCTTTCAGAATAGACTGAGGATGTCCTTGTCTGAGCAGAAATTGATCTCTGGTGCCAGTGGTCCATCCTTCCTTAGAGATCCTACAATAACAAAGCAGCAAGCACAAGCCAGTACTCAGGAACAAGCAACTCTACAATAATTGACCAGTTTATGCAATTTTGGCATTTGAAGCAACTCTGAGGAAAAAAATCTTTTATTGCTCTTAGGGATCTATCAGGAATGGGCGTAGATGGTGCTTGGTCCTGCTGTGAGGGCAGGGGTCTGGACTCGACCTCTCGAGGTCCCTTCCGGTTCTAGTGTTCTATGATTCTAAGTGTGGAGGATTGATAGGAAGAATATAGCCCTTGCGAGGGGGAGTACCGTATATATACTCCCCATCCCGAGGGATGGATATATAATGTGCCCATTTTCTGCATTTTTTGGCTATTTATGTATATTATATATCATTTTGTTCTGTGTCACCGTGCCCCTTAATTTTCCCAATAAAAGACTTCTTGTTACAAGTTTGGGAGTTTTTTTTCATCTTATATATTTTAGAGTGTTTCTGTCTAGAGTGTGAGTCCATTTGTTCAAGAACTCCTCCTAAACCAGAGGCAGGCAACATATGGTCCATAGGCCAGATTTGCCCTCCAAGCCACTGCATCTGGCCTGTAGGTTGCCCAAGCACTGCCCAGCTGGTATCCTCAAGCTCAGAGCAGCCCCATGCCACTTTAAGTAGCTAGCTGCTCCCTGTGGCTCTCTGCTCTGTGCACTGGGGGCGGGGGAGTCTTCATGGAAACTGGCCAATGGGAGATGAAAAATTTTGCTGTGGGCGGGGGCAGCATGCAAAGCCTCCCCTCCCCACAGTGCCCAGCGCAGAGAGCAACAGGTAGCAGCCAGCCATTTTGAGTAGCCTGGGGCTGCAGCAGGCAGGGAGCCTACCTCAGGATCCTGCAGGGTTGCTGGCTGGGAGCTGCCTAGGTAAACACCTTCCAGCCCCTCCTGCTTCCCAACTCCCTGACCAGATCAACATCCAAACCCTCTGTATGCCAGCTCACAGCTTCCTCCCAGACCCTGTACCCTCTCCTGCTCCCATGCCCCCCTCCCCCCAGCCAGAATCCTCTCCTGCACCCATACCCCCTCCTGGACCCTGCACTCTGAGCCCTTACCTCAGATCACAACTCCCTCCTTCCCCCAAAATCCCTCTGACCCCACATTCTCTCCTGCACCCCAGTCTCCTACCCCAAGCTCCCTTCTGCAACCAACCTCCATCCCAGACCTTTCACTCCCTTCATAGAAAAGTGCAGCCCTTGTCCACTTTCCAAAATGTTGGACTGGCCCACATCAAAAATTATTGCCCACCCCGATCCTAAATGGTAAGAGCTAGACTCAACAAATTTAGAATAAATGGAAGCTGCATACCAACTTAAGGGAAAGTCAGGCTTTGGTTGTGCCGGGAAAATGGGAAGACCCGGGGATGGGATACTCCCAGCCTCTCGCCTTACCTCCCCTCCCCCACATATCCACAAAGCCCTGCCTTGTACACCACCACCTGCCTGCCCCCGCCCCCTCCCCACACACAGCCCTCTGCCCTGAAGGACCCAGGAAATGCTAGGTAAGTCTGCCTCTATGATATGAAACATAAATTCTAACAGCTGCACATGCATAGCATACTGTGTGTGTGTGTGTATATATATATATATA